CCTCTACTCTGAGCTCTTTCATGTTAATCCCTTGTTTATAGTCTATGTCTTTTCCATTTAAGATACACAGCTGTGATTTTGATGAGTTTACTTGAATGTCATTGATATAATAGAATTATTGCACTATATTTATTACTTGTTGTAGGGGTTTTAATTGCTGGTAATCCATGTTGTATCATCTATATAAGCACTGATGATGATGTTAGTTGTCCTAACAGTTCCATCCTCTTTTTAAGTCTTCACAGTATTTTGAACTTATTGTGTACCCCTTGTATGTTTTTGTGACCATGGTCATATCCTGGCTGAGGATCCATGCCTGCTGTTTACTCTCTTTAGCATGTTTTATTATGCCAGTTTAAATATTTGATTTTCCAAGTATGAATATACAGTCAACTCTCGATAATTGTCTTGTTACGCAATTTTCTAAGTTAGTGCGCATTGCTATTTTAGTTATTGTGTCGATGATCTTCGGATTTCCGAGAACCGTGTATTTAGCACTAAATACTCGGTTCTATAACCGAAATACCCAATTCGGAAAGTTCAGTAATTTAAATATAGAGGTGTTTTCATTATATAATATTATATAAAATTATATATATATAAACTACTTAAAAATTAATCTACGGGATTTAAATTTCATAAATTTATATTAAATAATAAAATAAGTTTATTAATACACAATTATTTTATTGATTAATATCAGATTTTGAAAATCTACTGGTAGTTATATATTATATGTATGCGTATATCAGTGAATTGTCGGTAATTACTATGTAGATCGCTTTTCGATAATTGTCAATTTTAGACCAACCAATTTTAGGCTAATCAATATACACTAATTAACTATATATGGTATAGTGCATATTGGACAATTACGTAACCAGTACTAAAAACTTTCCGCTTACCTATTATTATAATGGCATATATACAAAAAAATTCTGACCTCACTTCTGGCCCGCTTGCTATCCCCGAATTGCTTGAAAAGATATTTATTAATCTTGAATGCAAAGATTTTTATTCTTGCATCATCAATGGAATATAGGAGCATCACGATCTCTTAAAAAGATCTTTATGAAAACCTTAATTTTAAAAAAGGTCAATTAGATTGGAGTAAACAGGAAACAACGCGTCTTCATACAATTATTAACACTACGAATTATAATTGGGAAACTGGATATGGTATTAAAAATGTTCATAAATAGTTAATTTTCATATAACCAATCTTGCAAAAAATTCTTCCTTGTCTTATCAAATCCTCTGTTCTTCGAAATAAATTTCATAGTCAATGGCAAAATCTTTATACGAAAGCAAGAACACTTGAAAAAAAGATTGATTTGCTTTATTATATACTGTATATGAATAGTGAATCTGGATATGATGTCACCAATTAATACAGCCTGGGATCCCACCCCAAAGATATAAAAAATTTTTCGTTATATCCTATTATATTAGTAAATTTCCAAATAGACGTCCCGGTTATCCTATACGTAGGCATATACTCTCTTTTTCCGAGCATGGGAGGAAAAAGGACAATCAATTTCGATTTGAAAAAATATTCTCTATAGTATATACAGTACCTCGACTAATCATAATCTACAAATTTACAGTAACTATCATACAAAATATAGTATATTATTCATGTCCTCTGCAGTGACAAAAATCGTTAAAGCTTACAAGCTATCGCCTCAAATTTCTCCGTCTGAGCTTAGCAGAAATGCGGATGAATTAACTAAGGATCAGTCCCGGAGGCGTCTCAGACAAATAGGATATAATGAAGAATAGGTACGTGCTCTTGTCCCTTTCAAAAATCTAGGCCACATACTCCTAAGGAAAATTCCATCAAAGATATGGCCTAAAATATTCTAAAAAATAGTAATTTATCACATGGAAATTAATGAAGATGCATCTTATATTGCTTATTTTGATGAAAGTGCTACCGATATACTGTAGTTGAATTCCTCACGAATTTCATATCTCCGAAAAAATTACACAAGAATGGGGCACCTGAGGAAGTGATCGATACGACAATGATTCTTGGTTAACTGAAAAGTCTAATCGTCTTCAAAAAAAAAAAAAAAAAATGCAAGAAATAAGTACAACTCAAAACTAAATCCTTCTGAATATTTTAAGCCTGAAACTATTCTTAAAAGACTTCAAAATTATTGTATGCTCTGTAAGTGTCTTTCTGATGTCACGTCTCTCCATATAACTAATGTATATGTAACAGGGCATGCTAAAGGCCGTGGAATAGATAAAGGCGAACCTCGAGAATTCCACTCTATGGACAAAGATGAGAAACGTGCTCTCGAATTACTTATTTGGATTCAGAAATCAATTGCAGATGGTACTTTTCGAGATCCAGGAATTCCAGGTATAAAGGGGTTCAATTCACTTCTAAAACCTAGTGACTTGCGTGAATTGGGTGCAAATTATACTACAATGATTCACAAAACAAAAAATTCTGGTGAAAGATTAAATATTATGAGAAAAGCCTTGAGGCATAATCCGAGACACGTATCACCAGTGGAGCATTATGTTCGTGTACCTTATAGGACTATTTGATGTGAACCAACGTATAAGAATCCCAAAGACGAACACATAGTGGTTACACCTCCAGATGTGGTGAGTGAGGCGAGGCATCTAAACCCAAAATAGAGGATAGTGGTTTAAATGATATTATGAGTGTACGTATATGGAGAAATTTCTGATTATGAGAACTAATCGTGCTTCTTTACTTTGATACATATTCACCAAGCTCATTATTAGAACTAGATACATCATCCGATTCAGATTTCAACCAGCACTCATCTCTATCCTCAGATGAGGAATAGATGAGAACGATTTTTTCCTTTTTTTTTTTTCCTTTTTTTTTTTTTTTTTTTTACAGATATTCACATCGTTTTTTGAAATATCTGGGTTTGATATCGAGTTAATAATCTCCTGTTGAACCTCAGTTTTAACTATCTTTAGTAATTGACGAAGAGAAATTCAAATTTTTTTACCCAGTACGTACTTGCCTAACAATATTATCAATTCGAGGTGAGGGTCCATCTATTTTCAAACCTAGCTCTTTTTCCTTTTCATATGTAATGGTTGAACATTGAACACCCGAATCACAAACTTCTTCTGTATCCCTACCATTAATCTTTATTAATATTTTTTTTTTCAAAAATTCTATTGCTTGTGCAATTTCATTATTATTCTCTTGTAAATTTTGGTAGTGCTGGTTCCGTTGAACTGACTCAATATTATTATCAGTTTCGATCACTATAAATGTTAAATTATTTTTTATTAACCGATACGTAATCTGCAGGTGCTTTGTACGTAATGAGATACAGGACTGGGACTTATCATCTCCACAAGAGGCAACTACGTACTAGGGAAACGGAAACCGTTATACGTCCGGAGAACTATTTTATTTAAGGTAATTATCCCTATATTCACAAAAAATTAGATATTGTTGTCTTCAGATTGTCCTCACTTTAAAAAAAAATCATTAAACATTCGATCTGAATACATGTATACGAGTAATTATTTTCGAAGGCGATTTTATTAGTAAAAATCACATGGCGGGGACAGTGTGTAAACAACCACCAAGAGTCTGATCTCCTCTTCGCTCCGGACATTTACGTACTAATAAACTTTAAATTATCAAAAAAAAAAAAACTTTATATAATATAAAAATTTTATACAGTATAAATATATTTTACCAAAATAATAAATTTCAGTTATTTTCGTTAATAAATATCTTTTCTATTGTATGTCTTCGGGTGTTACATTAGTGTATAATGTACAGTAGCTTTGAAAATTTTATACTTATTAGATACCTATAATATGTATTTAGATTAATGAGGAAAAAGCACTAATCTCGAACCCTTAAAATCATCTGAAACTAGTCTAGTTTACATTTATTAATAAAAAAGCTGTATTCTTGATACTGTACGTACTGTACAGTATACAGTCTCACAAAGCCTATTTATTATGTTGATTTTACAAGCTTTCATATTTGACTTTACACTTTCTTGTAGACATCAGGAATAACCTTTTATTTACTACTTCGATTTTATGAGGCAATCCCGAAGCAGGCATGTATAAAAGGATGCCCATCCGTACTATGTAGAGTAACAACCTCGAACATGTTCTAAAGCTATACCTTTCCTTCTCACTGCTTCTATACTAAAGTTAAAGACCGTCACGCGGGCGCTAGCCCAAGTTGGCGGTGACTGGTAACAGCGGTCATTAAAAATACACCCTAATTAGGTTATCGGAATAAGAGATAGGTTTCCTTCCTCTAACTTTTATTTAGAGGAAAAAGCACTAATCTCGAATCCTTAAAATCATCTAAACTAGTTCTCAAGCTGCAATTGTTTTACCTACATTGTCATTGTAAGACGAGTGGACAAGATTGTATCTATTTTACATTTATCGATAAAAAAGATTTATCCTTAATACGTATGCGGTCATCATACAGTATTTAGGATACCAAATAAGACATCTTTTCTCTAACTTTATTAGAGAGGAAATAAAGTACTGGAAAAAAGAGTTCTTGTAATATTAGAGATAAATGAGAGGACAAGGATGATTGTCTCGTTGCACTTGAGTCTTACTCATCCTAACGTGAGATCTCATTTACAAATATAACCCTTCCGGAATCTTTTCTGCGTCAGTTAAAAATGAAAATAAGTTATATTTTCACCCTTTTGGTCGTTACTCGCCTATACACTATTACTGCCGTACCTCATAAGCGGCAAGTTGCTTATGAGTTCCCACTCACAAGTGTAGACGGTGATAAGGGTTATACTTTTCCTATTACATTCGGAGGACAAATTTTCAATGTTCTTTTGGATACTGGTTCTTCAGATCTCTGGGTATCCGAAATACGTTGTTCCGATTGCGGGAACAAGAGAAAATATAATCCAAAACGAGACGGTAGTTTTAGAACAAATGGTAAACTATTTGAAATAAGTTATGGCAGAGGCTACGTTAAGGGTTACATTGGCTCAGTTGTGAGTTATGGGGTTTTCGGCGCAACAATACGAATCAGGCTCACAGGCTCGTGAAACGCTATCAGGGGAACATACTACGACATCATAATAGTTCAAGATGATGCTTGCGTAATGTGCTTCTAAAATTTTGAAAAGACCGTTTCCCATGTCTGTAGGACTAGTTTTCGTTCCGTCATAATCTGAAAATTGATTCCAATTTATCCAATTTGGATCACCAAAGCTAGAATCAAGACAACTGTCTACAAATGATTGCAGAGACTTCAACATATTTGTTTCCGCATCGTTTTCAATAAATCCCAAATCCGCCAGGTTGGTAACCGGATTTTTGGACGGGTCGACTGAACTTGTACCATTATTGATAACATCCGACCATCTTTTTTTAAATTCGTTGGCAACCAGAATTGTCTCATCTACAGCAGCCACAAATGGCGCCAAGAATGGATCGACTTCCACTATTACAAATGATAACGCGAATGCTACTATCATATCGATGAGGCTCGTATCTATCTCCTTCTTGGGAGTTAGGTCTGGAACCATATCTGAATTCATTATTCTATCGAGCTCTCCATAAGCATATAAAATTGAATCGTATACAGCTGAATGATAATCTAAAAAATGCAGGACCGACTGGACCAGATTGGCTACATTGGTCTCTTGGCTATCATATCTAAATTCCGTATAGTCCTTTGTGTCAATATTCAAAAAGCTTCTGATGCCTTCATCCCCATATTGTCCGGTAAGACTATCGATAACATCTCCTATATAGTAGGTATCGGCAATTTCTATTGTGCCGCCAGTGTCTACATTTATTTTATCAAATACGGCGATCATGTAGGTTACGACAGGAGGCACGGGATAATCGGGGTTGGGAGTGAATCCATCGTAGGTGATGTGTGTTTGAACGGTAGGATTGTAGAAGTAACCACTTTGTGAGCATTGATACGTAGCCAATATCGTGTGATCTTTATCATCAAGTGGTACTTTGACAGTAACCTTGCAATCCCAAGTACATCCCAGGAACACTAAAGACATTGTGGAGCCATCAACACCATTAGTGCCATAATAGTTGGATGTGCCGTATGAGGCTATATATGTAGTTTCAAAGTTGACAGTTTCGTTATAATCTTTGTCGCAAATATTATATGTTAATGTGACCGTGGTCCAGGCGCTAACTCGACAAATGAGAAAAAGAAAAAGGAGAAACCTCTCATTCATATTGAAGAGCGTCTTTCAAAAAGAAAAAAGGATAAAAAAAGAAAAAAAGGAAACCCTCTTTATCATATCGAAAAGCGTTTTTTCAAAAAAAGTGTGAACTTTATATAGGATTCTGTGCAAGTCAATATCTGTTTCTCATAGCATTTTTGTTAATCGCCGAAATTATTTTTATTGGTCGTCGAAACTAAACTTTCAAGAAACACTATAATGTCATCCGGGCTATTTGATATCAAAAAATTTTTATAACAAGGTACTAGTAGGCGTTAAGTATATGCAGGCATTAGACTTTTGCCTTATAGTGTCGCGATGGGCATTCATCCAACAAGTGTAACAATTTTAAACGGACGTAGTCACCTCAAAAAGTAACAGGCCCGATTTTGATTTTTTTTTTTTTTTTTTTTTTCGTCCTCCCTCTGCTTGTAGCACGGCATTGAGCGTAAAAATATCGTTTTTTAATAGCTTTCAGATATTTTCTATTTGGTCTAGATTAGATGAGTTTACTAACCAATCAAACATTTCAATTGAACCAATCTGAGATATCCATGCTGTATAAATTGGATACGGTCAACTCTTGATAAATGCAACTTTGATCTAACGCCAATTATTCATATCAAATGTGTGGGATTGGTTGCATTTAGAATGTATTGATAATCGATTAATTTGCCGAATGCATTTGACAATTATAAATTTATGAACTAAAATCAAACTGAAACCGTATACCCTTACACTCATGTCTATCCATACTTTTACTATATTTGTAAATTATTTTCATATATTCACCCAACTTATTCATTTGCTTATTTATCTATCCGTCCCCTAATTTATCCGCTCATCCATTTATTTACTTACCAATTCATTTATTCATCCATCTGTTCACCCACTACTCACTTATCCACTCATCTGTTTTCTCTCCATTCACTTGTTTATTCATCCGCTCGCACTTCTGTTCACCTATCCATCCATCTGTTCACCTTTATCTATTCACTCATCCGCTCATAAGCTTAAAAGTATTCAAATCAATGATTAGCCAATTACTGTACAATAATTTTAAAACTGATCACTACTTATTTTTACTACTGCGCCATTATATTTCAACTACAGTATGTTATTAGAATTGATTTAATTTTAAAATTTATTAAATAGATGATAATATGTTATATAAATACAGTTTTAGCATATATCATATAGTTATAATAATGACTTATTATAAAAATGGCAGTAAAAATTTTTCAGATTTCGCTAACGTTTTTTCGAAAGTTAACCGTGTTTTAGATTTGCATAAACCGGTATGATCGTAACTCTGATCATCGATTAATGCATCAATTACATAATTTTACTATATTTGGAAACCCACAAAGAGATGATCAAATCATTCAATCTGATCTTAAGTAAGCGTATAAAACAAAAATTGTCGTATTACTTGCGATCGAAGCTTGAGAATGGCACAACTAAATATTTTTAATATACCAGAATTATTAGAACTGATCTTATATTTTTTAGCAATTAACCAATCTCTCTATCCTGCTTTATTCGTCAACTACCTTTGGTATCACCGCGGTGCTCCTATTCTAAGGCATCGCGTTGAATTTTTCAACGAAAATTATTAGCAGCTGGAAGGTGCCTCGGAGATTGTTAAAATTTAAAAGAGTTATGTGTGGAAATATGAAGCCTTCTTGTTGCTCCAAGAAGGTATACTGTATCTCAGATTGGAAGGTTTAAAAATAAAAGATGCGTTGATTAGTGCAATTCTACGCTCATGCTCAGATATGCATACTCTCATTCTTGATCGAAGTGATGGTTTTTCTAATATACCAATTATAGAAATTGCAAAATACTGCCCAAAGTTAACGCATCTAAGTCTTAATTATGTAAATGTCTTACAAATAGATGTATTACCGAAATAGCGCGATCCTGTCCAAATTTATGATACATACAGTAAGTCTGAAGGAATCTTTGAATGATTTTAATATCATTACTGGTAAACCCATAATCGAAATAGCACGATCGTGTCCCTATCTGGTCATCCTTTAATTACTGATAAATCAATTTGTGAAATTGCTCGTTCATGTCCAAAACTTAGACATCTTGAACTTTTTATCTATTCCGTTAGTGATATGTGTCTGTATTAATTCGGAATATCTTAGTTTGGAGCGATATAATGGATTAGCGAAGAAGTGGTGAAAAAACTTGTTATTGTTCACCTTTACATATTCCAGTCTTGCAGGTCCATTAATAGATCTTTTTGTGTTACGGCTACATACTACAGTTACAGTATATGCAAGGAAAAGTATTTGTACGTAGATCACACGAGCGGTGTCATGTGTTTTAAATCTA